CAATTCTGCAGCTGTATCCTAGCAGTTTCTTCCGACATGGGCACGTAACGTAAATAAACATGTTTTTCGGGGGTCATACAGCTCCTTGTGTTTCTCAACTTCCATAATTAATTTAAAGTCATCCATCTTAACTGCTTGCCTCAGACTTTCTGCCTCTCTGTCCTGTTTGCTCCGGTGAAAAGACACCCAAAACCACACCCCCCTTCACGTGGTCACACACGCACACAAGTTCGATGTGTGTGTATGTGTGTGCGTGTTTGTGTGGTTTTTCTGCAGTGTCTGTTTACGAACACATTTGACTATTGCGGAATTTTATTTTGAAATGCTTTATTTTGTTAACTTTACCGGCCTGCCTCTTATGTCTACGTTTGACTTCCTGCCGGAATTGACGCGATTCACCCGCGGCTCGCGAAAAAAATAGAGCCAACGCCGAAATGATCGCTGCACGGCGCGGGCTGGAGCGCCGGCGCGAGGCGATTCGTGGCGCTTCGGCGGCCCATGTGGTCTATAGAATAGCTTAACAAGGGTGCCGAATGAAGGCGGTCCCATTTTCGCGGCGCTTCCGCGGCCAGTGTGTCCCTGCCGTTAGTTCATCTGACTGGCCAAAGTCATTACTGGCACACAACACATGAATACGTAGCTCTTGGGATATAAAGGCTTGTGATTTAATGTAGCCCAAACTGTCCTTTGTGATATTCAGCATATTGCAATACTGATAGTTATGGGTGTGTATTGAATCTAGTGAATCCATCTCTGTCCAGATTGGTGACTGTGCATCCTCCTGTCTTCCACTACCTTGGGGGGTGCCACAAGGCTCTGTTCTCGGGCCATTGCTGTTCTCTATCTACTCTCTGCCTCTGGGCAAAATCCTGAATCAGCACGGCCTGAGCTATCACATTTACGCTGATGACTTTCAATTATATGTAGCTATGGATGAGGAAAATGTGGGCTGGTGATTGGCTGCATGTTTAGATGACGTGAAGGGCTGGCTGGCATCCAGTTTCTTAAAGTTAAATGAAAGGAAGACTGAGTCTATTGTTTTTGACCCCCGCAACCACCATGGCTCTCACCCTGTTTGTGACCTTTTAACCTTCAACCCCAAACAGTGTTTGACAAGTCTCGGGGTAAAGTTGGATGCTGAACTCTCAATGGCCCCACAGATGAACTCCGTAGTGAGGTCTTGCTTTTATCAGCTTCGCCGCCTGACTCGCCTCAGACAAATCCTGAAACGGCGGCATTTGGAGTCAGTCATCCATGTTTTCATTACCACTCGCCTGGACTAAGCAAACGCCCTCCTAGTTGGTGCTCCGGTCTCTGCCCTGAATCGGCTGCAGGTCGTCCAGAACGCTGCTGCCAGGTTCTTGACAAATACGCACCGACGTAGCCATATTACCCCTGTCCTGGAACATCTTCACTGGCTCCCTGTCATTTTCAGAGTACAGTTTAAGATACTGACCTTTGTCTTTAAAGCACTCAACGACCTGGCACCTCTCTATCTCTCTGACCTGCTCACTCCCTATGTACCCACGTGCACGTTGAGGTCGACTGACCTCCTGCTGCTTTGCACGCCCCGGATGCGATACAAATCGCGGGGTGAACGAGCATTTGTACATGCTGCCCCAAAGCTGTGTAACTCTCTACCCATTATAGTTCGGCAGGCTCCATCATTGGCGGTTTTCAAATCTCGCTTAAAGACCCACTTCTACGATGTGGCTTTTAGACGGTGACTGGTTTCAGTGTTTTATTGTGTTCTTAGTATTCCTCATGTTTTATCTGCTTTTGATCTGTATTTTTATCTTCTGTTTTAATAGCTTAAATTGGTCGTTTTTTTGGTTTAGCCTGTGCAGCACTTTGGGCAGCTCCCATGCTGCATTTTAAATGTGCTATGTAGATAAACTATGGTATGGTATGGTGTGGATATAAATCACATCACATGGGAGATGATACAATGATTCATGACACTGAAAGCCAGATGATTTGTGATATTTTGAAGACTGAATTTGATTGTAAAACTTAAACCAGAGGCTTCCAAGTCACATCCAGTGTTATTGTGAGATCTCATTGTTCCATCAGGATGAAGGCGTTGAAAACTGCTGCCACCTAGCAGTCTGAGTGTTGCACCACACAGAAGAAATACAGTAAATGTTTGCATAAAAATTATCAATAAAAAACTGATGCACTGCTTAGAATATATCAGTTTAACATCATAACACAAAGTATTGCATTGCATCAGTCTTAGCTTCTCGCGTTTTTAATAAAGTGTAAAGAGATGCCTATCATATTGACTACAGATACTAAACCATCATGTGTAGGATTTAAGTAAATGTAACTTATGTTATGTTCAATATAAGATTTTTACTGATACCTGATATACCGATAGAGTAAATTTTAGGTTACCTACATCACATATCTTCCATCATGCATACTTAAACTTGAAACTACTTCAATTTAAGTTCAAGTTAAGGTCCCATTAGGTGAAATTCATCTCTATATTGACCCATCCCTGTGGAAGCGGTGAGCTGCAGCGGGGAGCCCCCAATGCTATGTAATACAACATATGCATGATAATGTAAAGAATGTGACATTAAAACAGTAAAAATAGATTCTGATCCTTTTCAATGCTACATTTTAATGCCAACATTGACAAATATCAGACATACCTATATGTAATGTTATGTTATATTGCGTTACTACACATTATGTTCTGTTATATTATATTATATTGTGTCATGTTATTTTTTGCTACGTTGTGTTACGTTATATTGTGGTGTTAAATTGTGTTATGTTATATCTTGTGTTACTTTATGTTACGTTGCACTACGTTACGTTGTATTGCATTGCGTTACTTAGCATTGCGTCATGTTATGTAATATTATGTTATGACATTGGATAGCATTGCGTTGCTTTGCGTTGTGTTATGTTAATTGATGTTGCGTTGTTTTGTATTAGTCAGTGTTATGTTGTGTCGCGTTTAGTTGCATTGCATTGTGCTATGCTATGTTATGTTGCATTATGTTGTTTTATTTTACATTATGTTACGTTATTTCGTGTTGCAATATGCGTTGCATTTTGTTATGTTATGTTATGTTATGCTATGCTATGTTGCGTTATGTTGCCTTACAGTACAATATGTTTTGTTGTGTTGTGTGATGTGATGTGATGTTATGTTATGTTGTTGCGTTATGGTTTTATTTTATGTTTTTATGTTATGTTACCAGAGATGGGAATTGCTGTATCAACAAGTCAACTCCATCTCGTGTTTTTGTTCTCCTCAGCAAATGAACCAGATTCATTCACTGTGCTGATTGAAATCACCTGGTTTAGTTGCTGAGCTGAAGAAAAGTGTGGCATGGAGATGGCTTGTTGATGCCACAATTCCCCATCCCTGGTTGTTACCTCATGCTGTTACATTATGCTATGTTGTTACATTATTTAATGACAATACGTTGTTGTGTTACGTAGTTGCGCTACGTTGTTACATTCCGTTGTTGTGCTACGGTGTTACATTACATTGTTATGCTACGTAGTTACATTACGTAACAACGTAACGTTATGTTACGTGGTTACGCTATGTTGTTATGTAATGTTGTCATGCTACATTGTTACGTGATGTTATTACATAACGTTGTTACATTACGTTGTTATGTTACATAGTTATGTAACATAGTTACGCTACGTTACGTTGTTACGTGACATTGTTACGTGACGTTGTTCCGTTACGTTGTTGCGCTACGTTGTTGCACTACGTTGTTACATTACATTGTTAGGCTATGTTGTTACACTACGTTGTTACATTACATTGTTACATTACATTGTTATGCTACGTAGTTATGTGACGTAACGCTATGTTGTTATGTTAAGTTGTCATGCTACGTTGTTACGTTACGTTATTACATAACGTTGTTACATTACGTTGTTACATAACGTTGTTACGTTATACTAGCTGGAGTTTTCTTTTAGTTTTACTTCTCCATGTCATTGAAAGCAAAGGGGCAAGCCCTGCAGCCCTCTACTCCCTTCATCTGAGGCCAGTGTTGTGTGCATGGGTGTATGTGAGAGAAGAGCTCTTGACTTCATTGGTTGGGTGCTGATTAGCCAAGCTGCCAGGGTTCTTTGTGCTCTTCAGACGGGGGTATAATTGTTCTTTGTTCGGTTTTCAGAATCTCTTTGAAGTCTCTCATTGGATTTATGTTCTTACATTTTCTATTTGCCTTCTCTCTTCACCACTGAAGCCACCCTAACTCGTTTTTGTCCCTTGGGTGTCAGACCTCTGTAGCGACCTACTGATAAGCTACATGAAGCTCATGCTAAAGATTATTGATCCATTTTCACGGGATTGGCCAAGAGCCGACGCTGACATTTTGAATCAGCAGTTTATCAAATCACAGTAAAAGCAAATAAGAAAATGGAGCCACAAAATGCCTCCTTGCATTGGCTTTCTATGAAACGGCATCATTACAGAAACTATCTGTCTGATGTTCTTCCACTGCGGAGATGAGGAATGTCTTTGACAGCTAGTTTGAGAGCAACCACTCAGCCATGATTGTTTCTCTGTTGTTGTCATAATTACATGGAGAATCCCTGGTTTTAATAAGCTGCCACGGTGCTGTGGTGAATTACTTCACCCAGCTAAGATAATACGATCCGTTTGAATTGGCCTAAGATGTAATATCACTTGTAGGCCTAGCAGAAGAGTAAAGAAGCGTCGGTTCTCATTGCCAATCTCCCTAAGGACAGAGCTATGAATGTGCACATAAAAGCTTTGGCAGGCAAGTCTGCATTAGCTGGAGAGAAGAGGAGGGCAGCTTCTGAGAAGACAGAGATTGTTTCACAGAGACAATAACAAAAAAGAGGAGAAGAAACCTGTTGTGTGCTTCAGTTGCCAAGGGCTACCTGTTGCTAATAAAATCTGTGTGTATGTGTGTGTGTGTGTGCGTGCGTGCGTGCGTGCGTGCGTGCGTGCGTGCGTGCGTGCGTGCGTGTGTGTTGTTTGGAAACAGATAAAGAATGCTGCAGCTAATGTGCTGAGGGAGACCTGGCTCATCTACAAGCACACCAAGCTGATGAAGAAGATCGACCACTCTAGAGTTCGCAAACACCAGAGGAAGTTTCTCCAGGCCATACATCAGTGAGACCACACACACACACACACACACACACATGGAACTGTGGTGCTAAGCCGGTGAAGCCTTTTGAAATCAGCTGTACTTACTGTCCGCCCACAGTTTGAATCCACGCTGGTAATCAGTTAAAAAGCACTAATCCCCACACACTCTCGCACACAAACACACAATTATTCATTATCTGCTAAAGGCCAACTTCGCTTCAGGCAAATGCAACTGTGGAACTGGATGATCAGTGCGTTGTGTACCATTAGAGGCACTCTGATCATTATATCATCTCTAACATGGCGTGATGACACATGCAGCTAAACTTAATCACACATCCCACAAATCTGTCTTTCTTGTTTAACTCGTTTTGCTAAATTGTGTTTGTATGTTGTCTATCAGGCCCAGGTGGGAGGTTACAAGTGCGGGTCGTTTATCATTTACTGCTTACTGAACACAAGCCAAAATCAAGACAGACAAAGTTTACACTTTAAGGTCCTGGCACAGCAAATATTACTCAAGCAATTCTAAGGTTTAATCAACATGTTTGTTGTAATAAACAACAATTGTATGTAATACTTTGTAATATAATAAAGATTAAATATGTCAGCATTTCCCACTTGTAGTAGTTAGTTCTTCCACCAGGAGGCAGAAGGCATGTGTATGATGCAGCAGGTTTTTATAGAAAGTACAGATCATAGTAGAAGTAGAAGTAGTATAAAGTACTGATCATAGTAGAAGTAGTAGAAAGTACTAATCATAGTCGAAGTAGAAGTAGTAGAAAGTACTAATCGTAGTAGAAAGTACTAATCATAGCAGAAGTAGTAGAAAGTACTAATCATAGAAGTAGTAGAAAGTACTAATCATAGAAGTAGTAGAAAGTACTAATCATAGTGGAAGTAGAAATAGTAGAACGTACTGATTATAGTAGAAGTAGAAATAGTAGAAAGTACTAATCATAGTAGAAGTAGAAGTAGTAGAAAGTACTAATCATAGTAGAAGTAGAAGTAGTAGAAAGTACTAATCATAGTAGAAGTAGTAGACAGTACTAATCATAGTAGAAGTAGAAGTAGTAGAAAGTACTAATCATAGTGGAAGTAGTAGAAAGTACTAATCATAGTAGAAGTAGAAATAGTAGAAAGTACTAATCGTAGAAGTAGTAGAAAGTACTAATCATAGTAGAAGTAGTAGAAAGTACTAATCATAGTAGAAGTAGAAGTAGTAGAAAGTACTAATCATAGTAGAAGTAGTAGAAAGTACTAATCATAGTAGAAGTAGTAGAAAGTACTAATCATAGTAGAAGTAGAAATAATAGAAAGTACTAATCATAGTAGAAGTAGAAGTAGTAGAAAGTACTAATCATAGTAGAAGTAGAAGTAGTAGAAAGTACTAATCATAGTAGAAGTAGTAGACAGTACTAATCATAGTAGAAGTAGAAGTAGTAGAAAGTACTAATCATAGTGGAAGTAGTAGAAAGTACTAATCATAGTAGAAGTAGAAATAGTAGAAAGTACTAATCGTAGAAGTAGTAGAAAGTACTAATCATAGTAGAAGTAGTAGAAAGTACTAATCATAGTAGAAGTAGAAGTAGTAGAAAGTACTAATCATAGAAGTAGTAGAAAGTACTAATCATAGTAGAAGTAGTAGAAAGTACTAATCATAGTAGAAGTAGTAGAAAGTACTAATCATAGTAGAAGTAGAAATAGTAGAAAGTACTAATCATAGTAGAAGTAGTAGAAAGTACTAATCATAGTAGAAGTAGTAGAAAGTACTAATCTTAGTAGAAGTAGAAGTAGTAGAAAGTACTAATCATAGTAGAAGTAGAAGTAGTAGAAAGTACTAATCATAGTAGAAGGAGTAGAAAGTACTAATCATAGTAGAAGTAGTAGAAAGTACTAATCATAGCAGAAGTAGTAGAAAGTACTAATCATAGTAGAAGTAGTAGAAAGTACTACTCATAGTAGAAGTAGAAATAGTAGAAAGTACTAATCATAGTAGAAGTAGTAGAAAGTACTAATCATAGTAGAAGTAGTAGAAAGTACTAATCATAGTAGAAGTAGTATAAAGTACTAATCATAGTAGAAGTAGAAGAAAGTACTAATCATAGTAGAAGTAGATGTAGTAGAAATTACTAATCATAGTAGAAGTAGAAATAGTGGAAAGTACTAATCATAGTAGAAGTAGTAGAAAGTACTAATCATAGTAGAAGTAGAAGTAGTAGAAAGTACTAATCATAGTAGAAGTAGTAGAAAGTACTAATCATAGTAGAAGTAGAAGTAGTAGAAAGTACTAATCATAGTAGAAGTAGTAGAAAGTACTAATCACAGTAGAAGTAGAAGTAGTAGAAAGTACTAATCATAGTAGAAGTAGAAATAGTAGAAAGTACTAATCATAGAAGTAGAAGTAGTAGAAAGTACTAATCATAGTAGAAGTAGTAGAAAGTACTAATCATAGTAGAAGTAGAAGAAAGTACTAATCATAGTAGAAGTAGAAGTAGTAGAAAGTACTAATCATAGTAGAAGTAGTAGAAAGTACTAATCATAGTAGAAGTAGTAGAAAGTACTAATCATAGTAGAAGTAGAAGTAGTAGAAAGTTCTAATCATAGTAGAAGTAGAAGTAGTAGAAATTACTAATCATAGTAGAAGTAGTAGAAAGTACTAATCATAGTAGAAGTAGTAGAAAGTACTAATCATAGTAGAAGTAGTCTGTGAGTCTGTGAATTCACAGCATGGTGCAATCCATCTCTGAGCTCCGGGATCAGGCCAATATTCCTCGACAGCTCGTTAATTTTCCGGTAAGCCAGGTAGCCTCCAAGGCCGATCAGCAGGAAACCCGACACCAACACCACGAATATCCACACGTCTTCAGAGTCCTCCACAGACAGTTGGTCTTTAGGGCTTCTTGTAGGGCTTAAAGTTATTAAATATGCTCATATTAGAGCAGTGTGTTGCATTACTACATCAAATGCATTGCTATAATATATTATAGTAATGTATGTGGTCTAAATGTATTCTACAGTGTGTTTATGACTGTCGTGTTCCTGTAATATAGAACCGTCACGGGTGCCTGTCTCCCTACAAATGCTCGGAAAAATAAATAGGCTACTTTGTGAATGAGTTAGGACATAATATAAAATATTATATAAAATATTATTCAATAATTACCAAAAATAGCCAGAGGAAATGTGATTATGTTCAATTTTTGTGATTTGTCCCACCATACGCCGTTCAAACTGACTTACGGCGCTGTGGGATGTTTGGAACTGAGAGCGCCATGAACCACGTGACCGCGAGTTGGTGGGTTCAAAGCGTGTCGCAACTTTCTCTACAGCCCTGTCTTGGATGAGCCCCATGGGCGGGCGTGGCCAGCTCCAGTTTATTTTCTTAAAGTGATGGAGCCCTGAAACGGCTCAATCTGGAAGGTACTGAAAATACCAAGAATAAAACAGCTGAAATGACTTAATGTGAGAGATTCGGTGCAAAGAACTTCACAAACATGTTTTGTATTGACCTTAGAATAATTATAATTAATGGGAAGAAATGTCCCGTTAAATATTTAGAGATCTTAAAAAGTAGCAGATCACACGTGATGATCATCAGACAGTTTTGGGAAACTTGAAGCTTGTAAACAGGCTGCTACAGGGTTTGATGAAAACACAGATTCAGCCGCTAATTACTGTTCTGTGTGGGGAGAATTAAGCAGGTTCTGATTATAATTGGACTAAAGATGATTTATTTAATTTCATTCCCTGTTGTTTATTTCCCCAAAGGCTTCAGTCCTTTAGCTCCTCTTAATAATAATCCCACTGTTAATCTAGACGTTGAAGCCTCTTTCTGAGTTCCCGTCATCAGTGTTCAGGTCGTGTTTTACTGACAGACTCTGGAGGTGAAAGCGAATCCGATCCAGGCAAGGTGACCGCTCCAGAGTGCTGTTGTTCTGGATCTGGAGGGATTAGCGCTGTGGGCGGACCGCTGTGTGTTTACCGGGCTTCACCTCACTTTGTGTATCTTCCATGTGTTTCTGTTTGCAGATTGCGGAGTGTAAAAATGGAGCAGAGGAAACTCAGCGACCAGGCCAACACACTAGTGGACCTCTCGAAGGTGAGCCAAACACACAGTTCACATCAGTACTCCTCAGGTTAATACGTCTCTCACACACACACACACACACACACACACACACACACTAAGCAAAGTGTGTACCACGGCATTCCTCTGTTTCCATGCTGACCTGCCTGTTTCCGTGGCTTTTCATCTCCTAGCAACCAGAGCAAGTGTTAAAACAGGGATGACTGAGTGAGAGAGCGGGGAGGAAACGAGAGAGGGAGGGGAGGGGGTGCTCATGTGTGTGTGTGTGTGTGTGTGTGTGTGTGTGTGTGTGTGTGTGTGTGTGTGTGTGTGTGTGTGTGTGTGTGTCTCTCTCTCCCTCTTTGTCGCTCTCTCTCTCTGTCTCTCTCTCTCCCTATTTATCGCTCGCTCTCTCTCTGTCTCTCTCTCTCTCTCTCTGTCTCTCTCTGTCTCTCTCTCTGTCTCTCTGTCTCTCTGTGTGTGTGTGTGTGTGTCTCTCTCTCTCCCTATTTATCGCTCGCTCTCTCTCTGTCTCTCTCTCTCTCTCTCTGTCTCTCTCTGTCTCTCTGTCTCTCTGTGTGTGTGTGTGTGTGTCTCTCTCTCCCTCTTTGTCGCTCTCTCTCTCTCTCTCTCTCTCTGTCTCTCTGTGTGTGTGTGTGTGTGTCTCTCTCCCTCTTTGTCGCTCTCTCTCTCTGTCTCTCTCTCTCCCTCTTTGTCGCTCTCTCTCTCTCTGTCTGTCTCTCTCTCTGTCTCTCCTCTCTCTCTCTCTGTCTCTCTCTCTCTCTCTCTCTCTGTCTGTCTCTCTCCCTCTTTGTCGCTCTCTCTCTCTGTCTCTCTCTCTCCCTCTTTGTCGCTCGCTCTCTCTCTGTCTCTCTCTCTCTCTCTCTGTCTGTCTCTCTCTCTGTCTCTCCTCTCTCTCTCTGTCTCTCTCTCTTTCTTAACATTTTTCTAATCACAATTGTCTATTTTTGCTCATTTTAAATATATTTTTAAACATTTTCTAAATGCTTTTTAAAATATTTTTACATTTTTTGTTTTTGTGTAGCACCCCGTGATTTTTATCTTGAGAGGCGCTATAGAAATTTTCTTTTCTTCTTCTTCTTCTCTCTCAATTTTTTTTTGTTTTACCTCAAAAGTTCAATTTAGTTGTTTAATGTAATTTAATCTAATAATAATGTCTAATGTATATCTGTATCTTTGGTTATTTCTGAATCTAACAGGTCACTCTGAGTGTTTCATGCAGGCTGAACATAAAATAGTCTCCTACACCTATCTCCTACGTTAGCTTCTGATAGAAAACAGACGGTGAAACTCTAGGATTAGAAAATCCTGACAGATCTACGTCACGCTGTCACTAACATTCATGGACTCACCCATCTGGACTCACGACGGGGAAGGCTGTTGTTGGTTTAGCATCCAGGAAACAGCAGAGAACGTCTCAGCTAGTAGAAGCTAACTGTTAACATTAGCTACTCCACCACACAGCAGAACTCCTCCAGGCTTGTGTTATTTGTGGAGATAAAACATCAACGTTGCAGAGCAACCAGATTCAGTGGTAGAGTCGTGTTGCTGTTAGCCAATCAGAGGAGAGATGTCCACATATCAGGACGTAAGAGTCCAAATCCTGTCTTCTGAAGCTCAGCTCTGATCGGGTAATCTATTCGATCCTGAAAGGAGCACCAGGGCTTTTAATCCCCAGAGTATATCGCTCATGCCGTTACTACTGCAAATTATTGATGAAACAAGTGAATCACACCTTTAATAGTTGTTTATTCTTCAGTCGAGTTCATCATGCTTTAATAAGACACAGGGACAAAAAGTAGTCCACCAAGCATGTGACCATCCACTTAATCAGCATTAGGAGGTCGGAGCTGTTTGAGGATCTGAAATCAGTTTAAACCCACAAAAACAGAATCGATGTGTCTCCACTGAAATCCTGTTTGTTGCTCCTTTTTTCCATTCTGGCTTCACAGCTGAGCCGCTTTTATGTCTTCAGCACGCCGTCACGAGTTAACCCACACGATGTTTACAGATCTGATAACCCGTCTCCTGTGAGACACTGAGACGTCTCCGACTTTCCTCCCACAGATGCAGAGTGTCATGTATGAGCTCATGTCGGAGCTCAACGACCGCAGCGAGGATTTGGAGCGACAGATGCTGTCCCTGGAGCAGCGGGTGGAGCAGCTCACTGCGGGCTTCAACGCCCTACCCGCGCACCTTTCTGCAACACTCAGCGCCCAGCACGCCGCCCTGGTTCACCTGCTCCGAGAGCGGGATTCAAGGGACGGCAGAGGAGGAGGAAACGGAGGAGACATTATGGTTCCACTGTCCCCAGCTATGTCTTTACCTGCTGCACCCATTTCAGTCTCTCCAGTCCAAGTGGCAGCTCCTCCCCCACCCCTAGCACAGGTTTCTACTTTGTCCGTAGAGACCCCACTGTCGCCTCCACCCCTGAGCCCCGAGGGGAACCTGGAGCTTAGTCCCAACTCCAACACCTGCACCTCTAGCTGCTGAGGATGGCTCGGAGGAGCAGGGGAGGACAATCACGGAGGCAAACCAGGGAGACTAGAGCGGGGCTGTCCTCTCACATCAGACTAACGGAGAGATGAGACGGAGGAGAAAGCCTTGAGGAGATCCAATGAAAGCAACGCTCCGTGGATGGAGACGGGACTGTGAGGAGGAGTAATGGGAGGAGCAGTTTGAGGGATGAGACACGTTCAGGACTTTCAGGGGGCTTTTTCTCTACGACGGAAGGATAAGAAAAACGGGATCTCTAAAAGGTGTGAGAGGGAGGAAGGATGTTAGGGAAGGTGAGAAATGGTGAAAGGGGGAACAAGGAGGGGGAGGACCGAAGAAGAGAAATAAGTAGGAATAATTATATGAACTCCTAAATGGAATCCGCTCCAGTTTCTGCAAAAAGGGCCTTTCATTCTTTCGATCTCCTTGTCTCCTTCCTCCAGATCTCTCCCTCCTTCCCTTCGTCAGGAATTATTGACCATGACTTTTTATCCTTACGATGTATTTTCTATTTGAATGCTTATTGTGTGTAACGAGCATCCCTTTAACAGAAGGTTGGATCAATACGACCAGAATATTTAAAAGACTAAACTAGCAGCATGCATACACACGCAATACAAGTTAACACAGCACAAAGCTGCACGTCCTCTCCTATTGCAGACCCTGAAACTCACAAACGCACTAGCCCACATGATGATACTACAGCCTATACTGCCAAGCCCTCGATGCACTGTCTATAGAGCACTGCCAAGCAAGCAGAAAAACTACAAAAATATGAATCTACGCGACATTTCTTGATGGTACGAGCCGCTGCGGTAGTTTCGAGTATTACTGCGCTCCCACAAATTACTCACGAAAGCAAAAAACGCAGAGAAACACAAGTCATCGTGCTAATTTTGTGATGCTGAAGACTGTAGCAGATGGTGAGAAAGGATGAAACGTCTCCAGCGGGGCTTTACTACTAAATCCACCAGACTGCACGCTGAATGCTACACTGTAACCCCGAATAAGTTCACTGAACTCAAAATGTATGAGGAAACTGATTACCTAATAATTTTTAAGTTAACTTATCTAAAAACTATGTTTACCATAACCTATAAAATACGACCTGAATAAAATCAAAGCATTTACCTCCAACCTATAACTTAGCACTTAAGCAACTTCCAGAGTTTTATTTCACTAAACTTGCATTTTTTATTTTATTTGAACTTTATTACATGTTTTTACTAACTTAAATAATATAACTTATATGAACTCTAAATGGACCTATTAAACCCTAACCCAAATGAGCTGAATTTACTTAAAAGTGACAATGTGGCAGGCCGGTGAAGGCAGTAACTAACACCAGATCATGACTCGCACACCCCTAGATGCTAACAGCCAATGAAAGTGGAACACTCAAAGTCAAGTCAAGAGTACCTGGTGTGAACAACCACAGTGTTAGTAACAATGGGACGGCACAGCCGTACAGCATTACTTTGACCAACCTCCTCACTTAAGGTGCCAACATGATACAAAAAGTAACACCACATCTGCAACACTGAATGAAATAATAACTGAGAACAACAATCCTCCACAATGAACATGCATAAACACCCCAAAATAGAGCAAAATAACTGAAAATATGACTACCCACAATGCACCATGCCCAGCAGTTGTTTATTGTTCCTGCGATCCATCAGAATTGCTAGTTTTTGGTTGTTTTTCCTGGAAATCCACAATTTTTAAAAAAAAATGATACAAGTTTTTTTTTCAGACACACTTTAGGGTTGACGTAAAGATGAAAGGAATAACATAGAAATAAAAAATAATAAATCAATAATTTTTTGTTAATATTACTCATTAAAGTTAAGTTGTCTTTTATTGATTAATTAAAGTTATGGTTACTTAAAAAAAGAAATAGTTCAGGTTAATTAAAACGTTTGAGTTCAGTGTACTTAAAACAAGGAAAAGGTTGAACCAGCTCAACACATTTGAGTTCTAAAAACATTTTTTATTATGAGTTCATCTACTCAATATATTTGATTATTTTGAACTTTTGGGTTTACAGTGAAAGTGTACTCACACAGATGCAGGCTCATTTTTGTAACTAATAAAAAGACAAAAAGCTTGAAATTGACAAAAATTTAATAGCATCCGTCGTTCTTTTATTCCATAGTTAACACAGATCCGAGCTTTCTCCTGATTGTTCAGTCGGATGTTTCATATAATTAACCGAGATGGAAATAAAAGACGGTACCTTTAATTTGACATCCAGTGGCAGCACCTTTTGAAGCAATCACTGCCAACAAGTAACATTTGAACTTCACATCGATGCGTCTGCTGTCACCGACTGGCCTGTTGGCCTCATGAGCAAACACCCACAGCTGTCTGCTTCTTTCAGATCTGTCCACAGACATTCAAAAGGATTAGGATCTGAAATCGTGAAGAGCCACCAGTGTGTCCCAGTGCTTTGTTCTGAGCCATTCTGGGGCCGTACTTGAACAGATAGTCGGTGCGTTTACACGCCGCGTCAGAAACTCGATTACTGCCTTAGTCCGGCTGAGTTAAACCGAACTGGACTCCTAATCAAGCTAAGGTACCCGGAAAGGGCCGAACCCAATTTTCTCTGCATGTAAACAACATCTCAGCTTAGCTGAGCTATGACCACCTTGGACACCTTTCCAGAAGTGACAAGACTACAGAAGCGGCCTTCTGATGATGTAATCGCCACCAGACTCCGACGCCGTCGTGTAATGCCGTCAAACAGTGCAGTGCAGTCCAAAGGTGTGGACACACCTTCTCATTCAATGTGTTGTCTCCATCTTCATGACCAGTTACATCGGGAGATTCTCACTGAAGGCATCAAAACTACGAATGAACACATGAGGAGTTATGCACTTAACCAAAACAGGTGAAATAGCTGAAACATTTTTTATATTCTACTTTCTACAGAAAAGCCACCCTTTGTTCTGATTTCTGCTTTGCACACTCTTGGCATTCTCTCGAGGAGCACCAAGAGGAACTCCTTCCAGACTGTTGGAAACCATTTCAGGTGACTACCTCTTGAAGCTCAGCGAGAGAAAGTTCAGGTTTTCGCTCGATTGTTGCCATAGAAACTACTTAGATGTGCGTGTAACTGCCAGATCCGCCAAAGCAGCTCCAAAACAAAACCGAGCCTTCTCCATGTTTCCCAGTAGGTGCTCTTTTCCTTGAACCCTTATTTTCTTCACCTGTAAACATAGAATTGATGTGACATATGTCTCCGCTGTCTTCTTTTGGAAGCTGTAGGGCTTTTTCTTCCAGGGATCCCACTATGGTCTGATCCGCGACAGATGGTGCCGTTGAAACCTGGATCTTGGGGGTTTGGGTCGAATGGTTTTCTAGAACATTGTTCCCAGTCTGTCTGCTCCTAGCGGCTACAGAACGTTGGCAGCTGTGGTTGGTTGGTCAGTCACAAATAAAGGATGCTGCTGGATGAAACAGGTCTTGAAGCTTGTAAATGCATCTATAATTTCCTTCCTGAGCCCCTCAGACTTCTCTGGTTTTTGCATTCTTGATACCAACAATACCAAACTACCCAGCTACCCATCGTCTTAAATGGCAGAATAGCTAGAAGGCCCTCTCGATGCTAAGTGATGATAAACATTTGGCTAGACTGATAGTGGCTGCATTTCCTCGAAAGGAGTTCTGAGATATTTCTGGGAGGGGGGAAAGAGGTATGATAAATCATTGACTCTGACCTCTCAGCCGTCGTGTCTCCATTCAAAATCATCCGTTTCGGGACGTTGCTTAGACGTCAGCGTATCACAACCGTTTTGGCATCATTGGTCAGCACTGAAAGGCGTCAACGAACATTAATAACAATAAAAAGGTTTTATTCTGTCAAAGTGGGACTGGGAGAGCGGCTGTATAACGTAAAAAGTGGTGTTGATTGACCAGAAGTAGCACCATTTTTTACAGTGCTCTGTAGACGACTAAACGCCAGGATCCCCGGGGTTTGGGACGGATTTCCGCCGCATTTTTCTGCTGATTTTAGAAACAACAATTTTAAAACGGCATCAATGCTGTTTTTACTTCTTTTTCTTCCTTTTGGATTCACCAGGATCTCTTCCAATTTTCCAAACGCCAGTTGGTGATGTCTGCTGATGTCGCTTCCCTCTGAGTTATAACCAATCAGCATCAGCTAACCCTAAGTCCTGCCCAGCAACAGGTATCTGGTTGGTCCCTGAAAGAAACCAGAAAGTGGTCCTTTCAGGCCGGCTCGATGAAATGGAGACACAAACGTGCCGTGAGGGTCCAGTAAAATAAGTTCAGATAGTAGAAACAGGCCCAACACAAGAGTTAACAGAGTTTTAGGGTTACCAACTAATCTGTCCATTTAAATTTAGCATACGTTTGAAAGATAAAGAACGAAACACCATTGTATTTGTTCATGAAGGTGTGCAGGAACACATTAGACGGCTGATTTTGGCTGTATTACCACTGAGGGAGCCTTGTTTCAATGAGCTTTCAGGGTAACAACAAATTTGGGCTCATGTCTGGTTTTGCTGCTCGGATAACATTATTTTTTAATTGTAATGAATCTTAGAGGGTTGTTGGACAAAAGAAACAAATGTTTGTTTTAAAACAACAGAAATGAACTAGTAACACTTAAAGAGCAAGTCACCCCCAAATCAACCTTTTTTTGCTGATAAACCATATAAATGAGTGTCTGATCGTGCTGCAGACACGTGTAGTCAATAATTTGGCCCTTTAGTGCATCTTAGTTAAATTTTAAATATTCTACCTAAAACTGTCAGTGTTGCGCCATCGTCAGCAATTTAAATCTGCCATCGGTATTGGCTAAGAGGTACACTATGACATTGGCTGGTACATTATGATGTCACAATGCTGTTGTGCGCCTGTTTGTGTGTATTTGTTAGCGGCTCCATCCTCTCGGTCTGCCAGGCAACAGCATCCGTTGCATTTTTCAAACATGAAGTGGGAGTGGAGTAAATAAATTGTAGCGGGTGACTTGCTCTTTAATTAGAAATATAATAAAAAGGTTTTATTGCACAAACTTTCTGCTCTATATTTAGCATCAGCTTTTATGACCCAGATATCGACTCTAGAAAGTCAAGAAGAGGAATCTCCAGCAGCGAGAAATGTTTGATTCACTGAACTTTATAGAACTGAATGCTTTAGAACATGTTTTTGTCCTCAGAAGGACTCGAATGTTGCCTTTTTATTGATAATTCATATGATTTGTTACCAACCCATCTTTGTATTGATGTACGTTGACATGATTCAATTGATTTCTGAGCATGGCTCTGTCCATGACCCCCACTTTACTGTTGCTCTCCGTCAGTCTCACAATCCCAGAATAGGTCTCCGTTCTCATGAATGTATTTTGTGTAAAAATAATACATCCTCGCTTTGCTCGATCACTTAAACTGCCACACACACACACACACACAGACACACACACACATTTATATATAAATATATCTATACACACACCTCAACAACCAAAGTGCTCTCTCTTAAATGGACTTCAATAAGAGGCAGGGAACGCCGCTGTCGCTGGGGACAGAGAGATAGCAGGAGAAGGCGTTGCAGACATCTTGACAATATTTCTGAGAGAATTACTGTGAAAAAAATGGGAATTGTTTTGCTCGGAACACCGACGGCTCTGGAAGGAGATGGACCACGGATGAACATAAGGGAACACAAATAAACCTTACGAAGGATCAATGGCCATGAAGGAAAAACGTGTTATTTTAGATAAATATCGGGGAGAAATTGTGATGTGAGATGGGAAAAGAGACAAGCCGACCTTGGCTTTGGAGACGATAATGAAACTATGTTATAGCGACATGCTGTGGCCGGAATACTGAATCACACGCGCTTGGAATATTGTACAGTATGCTCTTAACGAAACCTAGCTTTGTAATGCTTAGTCTTTTCTACTATTATGAGTAAAGCAGTTACAGCTGATATCTTAAATTATTAAACCATAGTATTCTCATTCGTCATGACAGTTATCATATATGTATTATTAATACGTAAAAAATTATTATGATCAAGGAAAGTGCCGTTTGGAGTTGAAATTATTTTGTAATTTTATTTTATCAGAGAGAATAATAAAGTATATATATATATATATAAAACATTACAGCCTCCATGTTTTGTTTGTTCATTTTAATGATTCGTTTATTTTTGCTGGGATTTTTTTTTCTGCGAACTTCGCCAGAACATTCAGGTTGAACTGAGTCGAGAAAGACAAATTTAGTCAAATCATTTATTTTCTAATGAGCTGAATAGGCTTGATGAAGCCTGTATTTTAAAAATGTTCTACACTAGCGGTAGCATAGCAAAGTTAGCCTACATTTTGGCTAAGCGTGACTCTACGCATTAGCCGTGTTAGCCTGTATGCTTGTATTTTCCATTATATTTACTTGACACATCTCGCTACTTTGATTGGATGAGCCGCGTAACTATGACAACCACTCCAGTGCTACTTTCTTAGAGGAACAAGCTGGTTACGTTCAACAGATAAGCACCACAGATATGTCTTCAGCTGACACTTTGGAAAGGTTTGAAGAACTTTGTTTCCCCGGATACTCGCTGTACTTATGATACTCGTTGTACTTATGAGTAAATTGTTATAACACCAATTTAGTGAATATTTCTTGAAGTCATAAATGGTCAGTGGTCCAACTTTTTTGTGCTTCCATGTAGGTTTGTGCTGCTGCCGCTACAAACATTATGAGCATGAATAAAAACTGTCCATTCATTTCCTGTCAGTGTTTGGTTTCACGGTTTTTATGCCTAAAATGAGGCCTTTAAAATAATCCCTGTATGTGACATCACAATAAGGGAAATTAGCATAAAACCACCTCATACCTGTCAATGCTAAAGGAACAGCAGCTGTAAGCCCCTCCTGGATATCCGACCTCCCCTCAAAAAATCACTTTACCTGCCAACAGCTTCAGCTTTCTCCGTGGGCAGTTATCTGGTGGATTAGAGATGTGCTTTATATCCGGTATTCCTGGAGTGCGTCGTGGGAGTGGCGATATCATCATTCATTATTTGAATTATGTTAATCTATGGCTGTTGATGTGCATCAACATCCCAGGAAACAGCTACTGTACATGTAGCACAGCTAGTCCCTCTGGGAGTTCTTTATTTTTTTATAAAATTATCAAATCTGAAGGTTTGCAACCACTTTGAAAGTCGTTCTACTTGGAAAAGCCAGTTTTTTGCGCGTTGATATGATCCATAGCTGGCCTGTTGGACATGAACTACATTTCCCAACAGGTTGTGTGAATAAATAACATGACACACAACACATTAACTAATTTTTACACATCCCAACAAATCCCACGATGGTTACCTTTAAAATCAGACCAAAGTAATCAAACAGATCTTGTGGTTACAGAAATATACTCAAAGTGTGAGTGTCTCATGTGTCTCACTAACATTATTCTTGCTTTAAAAAATTGCTTGAGCACAAATTCTCTTGACTGATAAAAATGTGATTAATCAAGATTAATTAATTACAAAGCCTTGAATTAATTAGACAAATTTTTTAATCAAGTCCCACCCCTAGTTTTTGTCTCTTTATTTTTACTTGATTCATATTATTTTCTTAACTTTATGGGGAAAAAAATAGACATTTTCTTTTTTTCACCTCAGTGGCAAAGGATTTGAAGAGAAATATTTTATATTTTCTGAAAAAGACATAAAAGATTTATTTCCAAAGGTTTTCATCTCTTTGGTTTTGTACTTCATGAGAAACTTTTGGCAGGCTGGAATCTTCTGAAGGATCAAATGAGCTTGGCACACTAGTGGATATTTTTTGGCTGAAATTCTTGAGACGAAACCAGACAGGATAACAAACATTAGCACACAGCTTTTCGGGTCTCTGCACAGATACCATTCTTGGTTTTATTGCTCCAAGTTGCTGTTTAAAAGAGATTTCACTCAAGATTATCTGATGTTTTTCTACATCCAGAGACTTATTATTCAACTCCTGTCACAGAAAAGCATTTACATGAAATAATTCTGTCATCACTGAGCTTAGCTGTAGGGATGGTGATAACGAGGTGACTGTTAGTGCCTGGATGCTGTCATAAAGAATTATATACTATCTTTACATGTTTTTGGTGCTTTAGAAAAGAGAAGTGTGTGTGTGTGTGTGTGTAAAGATATCTTCAGTGTATGGTGGACTGCCCCGCTGACTGACATCCATAGCGGTGAGTACGTCACTTTGTTCGTTGTTCGATAGCATGCGGAGACTGTCTGAAAGACAACCAGAGACTCTGCCTGACGGCTGGGCTCTGTCCATGGCTTGTGGTCAGACTATATAAAATGGCTTACCAGGCTTGGAGAATCCTGGCTGAATTTAAACTATTACGTAAAGAAGAGCGGAACAAGTATCCTCCCCGGTGATGTGAAACACGTTAGCAGTTATCATTTGGTGTTTACTCAGGTTATTCGTCTTATGTCGAATGTTTATTTGATAATCTGGAGCATTTAAAGGTGTTGAACACTCATTTAATCAATACATTTGCAGGAGAGTCTGTAGTCTCTCCTGATATTAACACTTTACTCTCTTTGATATTGAATGTGCTACTACTAGTTTACCCATTTAATTATAGATTCACTAGGATAAATACAATAAAGTTTATCTCTCACCAAATAGAATATTTACTAAGAAACCACAATGTAACCATAGAAACACTACTTGGTGTCGTCAACATTAATATATGGACAATGGGTTTTCCTAGCCTCCAATAACAAGTTTTTGTGCTAAAATGGGAGGTGGCCACCACCGCCATTTTGACCGTGTCACAGGTTCCGTCAAGCCCAGTCAATTCCATTAAAGGGAAGAGAGGAGGAGCTGAGGGTGGGGCTGTAAGGCTGGGATCAACTGACGACACCCGGTTGAACTAGCTACAAGCTAACCCTGGCTAGCCCTGGCTAACCCAAAGCTAACACGGAGGTGGGAGCCGAGCTAATGGAGGTAGCAACCTAGCTACAACCGGAGCTAACTCTGTGGAACACCCATAGACCGCATGGAGTTCAGGTGGAGGTTTGCAGCGCTTTTTCATGAGAAGTACCTTTCTGTGAATAAAAAATATTAAATCGGTAAGTTTTTAAGTTATTTCCGTAATGAAAATACATTTTGCTTTGAGCAAGTTTTCACTATTTTTCACTCACCGTATTTTCAGGACTAGTAAGTCGCTCCTGAGTTGCACCAGCTGTTAAATGTATAATGAAGAAGAAAAAAACATATACAAGTCGTATTTTGGGGGGAAATTTTATTTTTCTTACAAAATCTGAGACAAAGCGTTTCACATTGCAAGACAAGTACCGGTAACAATAACCGAATAATGCACCGCAGCAGCGTGCCACGGTCTCCAGCAGAGGAAGGCGGTGTTTGAAACCCTCCCAGCGGGACAGGGGAACTCATTCTTGGGTCGGAGTCGGCCCGCAGCAGCGCGGTGTAGCCTACATGTTTTATTATATAAGTCGCTCCGGAGTAGCAGGACCGGCCAGACTATGAAAAAAAGTGTGATTTATAGTCCGGAAAATACGGTAGTTATTAGTATTTGAGATAAATTAGCAGGCTAAATACATTTCATATATTTCCAAAACGTAATCCTTGTTTGTATCTTGTACAGCCAAGTAGCCTTTATTCTGGACTCAGTACAATTCACCAAAAGTAAAGAGACATTATACAGATGAAGTAAGCACAAGATAACTTACTGGAAGAAACAGAATTATTATCATGAGAACCAGAACAAGACAGCCTGATAACAGTCATGTGAAAATAACAGTTAAAAAGTATGTATGTGTAATAGAAATAAAAATATATTAGAATTAGTGTAACTCACTGTGATCCAAACAATAAATCAGCCATAGCTGATTAGCAATCATGACATGAGGTCTGGGAGTTTTTAAGTTTCATTCTTTTATTACATTTTTTTCTTAGATCTGTTAAAAGGTCACCATGGCAGCCTGTGTGTCTCCAACACCAGCTACACAATGCAGCAAGTGTAAGTACCAAATACCTGTCTTGACCACTTCATGTAAGGTTTAGTACTTTAAACAGCAAGGCCAAACCTGCTATTTTTTTCTCCATAGCCATTTGGATCATCGGTGACAGATGAGTGAGGCGTGGTGCCCAGAGAGCTGCAGAGACCCTCGGAGACAACCTTGGCCTCCCTGACGTCCGTGTCTCCTGGTTCGGTTGGGGCGGACTGAGGTGGAAAGACCTTCTCCCCTTCTTTTTCAACTCCATGCATGGAAGAGCAGCTCCTGATGTCCTTCTCATCCACTGAAGCGGCAATGACATGGGGGTGGTCAGCAGTGTGAATCTGGTGAACATGCACCGGCTTCACCTTCTACACCCTCATATCACACTGTTGAGAACTGTTCTTCCTTCACAACCCAATGTTCCACTCACTCTGCCAAGACCAAGGCTCTACTGAGGCCTTTCCCCGGAGCTAGCTCTGTGGTCACGTGGGTCTGATGCTCATTAATTATACAGAATTTTAGGCTTTTAATACACTTAAACAGAAGAGTGAGAAAAAAATTCACCCCCCTCAGAGTTGTCATGAGTGTAAACTAGATCATTTAAACCAAAAACATGTTTTGGTACCAGGCTGTAAACATGTTTATTTCTGCTGTGAAATTGGTATTTTTAACATGGGAGTCAATGAGGATTTGCTCGTTTCTGACACCAGCCCCTAGTGGATGAGGGTGGAACTGCAATTTTTGGTATTTCCGGGTTGAGACCATTTTCTGAGCCACATTGTGGGGGCTTGCTTGGGGGTGTGTGTGTGTGTGTGTGTGTGTGTGTGTGTGTGTGTGTGTGTGTGTGTGTGTGTGTGTGTGTGTGTGTGTGTGTGTGTGTGTGTGTGTGTGTGTGTGTGTGTGTGTGTGTGTGTGTGTGTGTGTGTGTGTGTGTGTGTGTGTGTGTGTGTGTGTGTGTGTGTGTGTGTGTGTGTGTGTGAGTGTCATGGTGGACGGCTGCTTATACTGAGCCAGGATCCTCTGGAGGTTTCTTCCTGTTAAAAGGGAGTTTTCCTCTCCACTGTCACTGCATGCTTGCTTAGTATGAGGATCGCTGTAAAGACTCTGACTCTAGTCAGTGACTCGATGCAACCCGCTGGGCTCCTTATATAGGAAAATTTACTGGTTGGCTTAATGAAATGACCTGCAATGGAATCTTTACTGAGTGACGGTCTTTTGGGCCATTCCCATCTGTACCGGGTCGGCCCGGGCCGGGTAGCCCCAGTCGGCCCCAGCCTGGCCCGGTTGATTCCACACACCCTTGTCTTAAGCCCATGTGGGCTGATTCTACCCACCAATCAGAGGCTTGCTCTAATGGAAGGTGTGAATTTGCTGTCAGCAGTGGGTGTGTTGGCCCTGGTCGGCCTGAAGCAGACCCCCTCGAGAAGAGGGCTGAGAATGAGCCTCGGTTGGCCCGGAAAAATACCAGGCCACCCAGATATGTAAACAACCTACGCTACCTGGCCCGGGCCGACCCGGTACAGATGGGAATGGCCCATTTGAGACAACTCTTGTCGTGATTTGGTGCCTTATGAATAAACTTGAATTGAATTAAGAATGAATGCTGTAAAAGTTGTACTCGGGGGGTATCTTCAGATGACATAACCTGGAGTCTCATTCCTGATATTCGGACATCTCTCCTCTGAATGACTAACAGCAACACAACTCTACCGCTGACTCTGCTCTGCAACGTTGATGTTTTATCTCCACAAATAACACAATCCTGGAGGAGTTCTACTGTGTGGTGGAGTTGCTAATGCTAACGGCTAGCTTCTATTAGCTGAGACGTTCTCTGCTGTTTCCTGGAGGCTAAACCAACAACAGCCTTCCCCGTCGTGAGTCCAGATGGGTGAGTCCATGAATGTTAGTGACAGGATGACGTAGATCTGTCAGGATTTTCTAATCCTAGAGTTTCACCGTCTGTTTTCTATCAGAAGCTAACGCAGGAGATAGGTGTAGGAGACTATTTTCATGTTCAGCCTGCATGAAACACTCAGAGTGACCCGTTAGAATCAGAAATAATCATTAAAAAAAATTTCAGTGTTCCACACCTTTAAGTGTGGCAAAAATTCTAAGACAGACGAAATCTGTGAGTAGATAAGTACTTTTTCGCAGTACTCTAATTTATGTGCAGATATGTACATCTCAGGAGTGTGAATAATGTGTCATGAGGACATTTGCAGTGAACCTATTGCAGCGTTTGCTTGACATGAGCACAAAACACAACATGAATATGTTGGTGCAGAGCCTCAAACCAAGCAAAACATTCAGGCAATCCTCGATGAAAAACAGCTGCCATGGCAACAAGATTTTATTTCTGTGTAATATGATATTATTTTTACTTTCATACATTTTTATTTCAAACATTTTTAGTTGGATGTTGTTATAAGGTGACTTTTATGTCATGTTGTAGTTTTGAGTAATTATTTTCTCACAGCAGCTGACAGAGAAAACTTCCCCGAAATCAAAACAGCTAAACGTGCCATGTTCTTCTGTTGCATCTGGACCTTTCTACCGATTTCCTGATGAGAGTTAGATGGTGCAGAAACAGAGTCACTTCAGATTGAAGGGGTTGTCACGGCATTCGTTGGATATCCTTCTGACCGCCGGAACCCCATAAAACAGGTTTTGTGTGAGCCGGACCTGCAGGGTGTTTAGCCCGGAGAGCAACTGAAACAGAGGGACAGAGGTGTGATCGCCGGGCAGCCTGAGGCACTGCTCTGCCCGGGGCGAAGCCACACATCCACAGATGTGATGTGCTTGTCATCCCTGTTATTTACTGGCAGACTCTCCTGCCCCCGGGGGCTTTTATCCACTCATCGGGCCGTGTGTGTTTGTAGGATTGTGTTCTGTAATTTAGGGCCAGTGAAATGTCAGTAACCTCGGCCTCTCGGCTTCTCGGGATTTCTCAGTAAAGCTTCTGGCTTCGGTCTTTCATGAGAGGATCAACGGCTGCAGGTAAAGTAGAAATTTAGGATCTTCACTCATATTGCAGCAGAAATGTGTGTGTGTGTTTTTAGGAGCATTTTATTAGAAGCAGAAACAAATAATGTAAAGGATTTTACATCAGAAAAAAGTTATTGTTGAGCTGCTTTAACGTGATCTGGCAGATGGACTCAGTCTACAGGTCAGCCACAGAGCAAATGTGTGCCAACCTGAAACACATTATGATTTCTGTCTTAAGCTGTAACATTTCTACGGTTGATGAAAACATTTATGAAGCAGTAAATCCCTCACATTAAGCAATTAAGCTGTTTTATTCTGAACATTTTCAGGGCCTTCCACAATGAGCCATTTAAGGGTTCTGTTGCTTTGAGAAAACAAGCTGGAGCTGGCTTCTCCCACCCCTCCCCTGATTCGCTGCTATTGACCCTTAGCACGTGATGTCACGCCACTCATGTGACCGCCCCCTTTGCCATGATGGACGGCAAAAAGACCGTTTACACCCGTAGAAACTCAAGTGAAGCTAGTCAAAACAAGCCAGTTTGGAGCCTTTTATGGCTTTTATTTAGTTGATTTGACAGTAAAATGGTTTGCTGCGTGGTCGGCTGCACTAACAGACAAGGACGTAAACTCAACTCGTTTTTTCTTTTTAATAACTTTGATGGAGACTGAGGACGCAGGTGAACCGCAGCGATCAATCAAGCGGACTAGCAGGCCTCAGATTTACAGCGAACATGTTTTTAGCGGGTAAGATTAACGTTCGTTTATTTCACGAGGAAGACGGGGACAGGGATAAATGTGATGTGTTTATACTGGTTATTGATAATGCTGATGGATGGTATTTCACCACGGAGGCTGCGCGCCGTCCACTGTAGTGTAAAGCGAGACAATTATTAACAATATTAAAGCTCCGATGTACGGTTACGTGTGTTAAAATGACGTTATTTATTTATTTATATGAACGTCGGCGTTCAGAGATCTCCTCATTCCGGTGTGAGAGCAGCAGCTGAATCCGGTAACACCACCAGCAACAGAAGCTGGTAGGGATCTGGACTTTCTAACAATCAGCTTTGGTGTAAAGTGAAACTGTTTACAACCTAAAGTTATAAATCCAGAGGGGTGAGTTTAGGCAAAGTCAGCAACATGTTTACATCAGTGAACAGCTGCAGAGAGAACGTAAGCTAACGTTGGTAAGCTAGTCAGTGTTGCCAGCTTAGCGACTTTGTCGCCATTTCTAATGACTTTTCAGATCCCCTTAATGACTTTTTTTTTCTCAAAAAAGCGCCTAGCGACAAATCTGGTGACATTTCTGGCCCCTCTCAGCTACTTTGACTACAACTTTGTAGCCAACATTACCGGCAGATTAGAGATGCATCTGAAGCGACAGGACCGTCCTTCCTTCCAGAGGATCAGAAAGAAAATGATCTGCGCATGTGCGTGCAGCATGATCACGCTACCCCCGTTGACCAATCAAACCTTTTGTGGGTTTTCACAAGTCCATTATTTGAGGTAGCCACCGGAGCTACATAAAGGGCGACCGCTCCTTCTGCCATCCTGCCGCATTTTGGCAGCTGAGCTCGGCTGGCACTGGCAGGCAACGTCGCACTCACACATGGCTTCTCGCACCACCTGTGGTGCATTCAAGGAACTTTGGAACTCTATGATGAGTTCAATAACGTAGCACATTTAAAACTTTTATAAAAGACAGAATAATACCGTAAGACAAACACCTCAGGTCATTGGCGGTTGGCATGTAACGTTTCTGAATACTAAATACGGCCTGCTTCTTTTTAGACAAAAGTACTAAAAACAACAAAACCAAACAAATAAAATATATATATATATTATCTGTTAGGTCAATA